TATAAAATCACATCCATTCGGTTTGTATGGTATATACCAAAAATAACCATATTATCGATTGTTAATATCTTTTAAAAATATAAAATTAAAAAAAGAACTAAGATATTTAAATCATTGATAACAAAAAATTTCAATGTGAAAAATTTAATAAGTTTATAATTTATAAATGTTCTTGAAAATTTATTGAAAATTTTGAAATAAAATATTTATGTAATCTTATATGGTATATAGTTTAATCTGTATATATATATATATATATATATATATATATATATTTGTTTTATTATTGAATGATACTTTTTACTTATATGGTTTTAAAATCATGTATATCTTTTTATAATAAAATGTTAAACTATTGATCATTAAATTTTAACATAATAGTTTTAATAGTTTAGTTATTTATTCTCGTTTCTTAAAATTCAAAATATAACCTATATATACGAAAAAATCTAAAGTTTAATTTTATAGCTAATTTGATTGTTTAATTTATTTTAATAATATAAAATTAAAGAAAAATGATGGAGGATATATAAACTGTTATCAAATATTTATTATTAGAATCATTAAGTGTCATATATATATATATTAGTCATTTATGGTAATTCCGTAGGTTTTATTTATGGAAATAAAATAAAATAGTAATAAAATTTAGGGAACAATCATTAAGTGTCATATATATATATTAGTCATTTATGGTAATTCCGTAGGTTTTATTTATGGATAGAAAATAGCATATCATATCATTATATCATATAGTTTGACTAACTAATGTATCTAGCAACTTATAAAAATCCAATGTGGACTTACTTATTTTTCAGTTGAATATAATTGACTACCTAATTAAATGACACCTATGCATTGGGGCCTCTTTTAATTAATACAAAATTGAGGTTATATCTTTTCAAATGTTCCCCAATTAATATATAGGGGATACTCTTACATTCAATTAAGTCATCTAAGGTATGATATCTAGCATCAGAGTTATAATCTTTTAAGGTAAAATATATATTTCCACAACTTGATGTATTGTATAATAACTATTTCACAGTCTCCAATTCTTATTCTAATTATACATATTTTAAGTATATGAATATATTTATTCTATTTTCAAAATCAAAATTCAAAGCCATACAGACAAAGATTGAACTTGGTTTTAATGGTATAGAATTCAAATTGATATCAAAACAATTGATATTAAACTCAAATTAAACCCCTATTTGATTTGAAATCTAAATAGAACTTGACATAACATTATCCTACTGGAAAGTCCGATCAAGTACTATTTTGATACTAAATTCGGGCCCTTAACGAGGCAAACCAACTTCCACACGGTAAGAGCCCAAATCAATAGAAGCATGGTTAATTTCGGTTTTTTAGCCGGGATTCTTAATTTATGATTTGACATTTTTTTTTATTTTTGGTTAAGAAATCATTTTTATATCTTTTATTTAAGAGATGATTTTAAATTTTTTAAAATTAAAATCTAAGAAAAATTAAGAATTATCTTTTATCCGAAGCTAAGAATCCAGTTAAAAGACTCGAGTTAGTTATGATCTAATAGTATGCGTATGTCAAATCATGGCTCTCCATTTTTAGATGAAGACATACCTATCCATTTATATTATATGTTTGGACATTCGTACGAACATATCTTGATTTGTCTATATATCTCAGATTCCCTATCTAAACAAACAAACAAACTTCATAATGTTCTTTTCCCGTAGGAAAAAAAAAGTCGAACTTTTCTTTTGGGGTTAAGAGAACTTTATATTGTTCTTTACACATGCAATCAAATTCTCGACATCTCTACGTATTTAATAAATGGGGTATGTGGCTCATCCATTGATGTGATTTTAAATTCCACTAAGCCGGTCAGAATTCGCATCCGCCACAAAAGAAAATTAGATATATGCATTTTTTGAAGAAACTGTATCCATCGCTGGTCCACTTAATCAATTTATGTTTTTATTGTTTCGTAGAAGATTTTCTATTAAGCAGCATGAGAAAGGAAAAGACAGTTGGTAATGGCCATTATCTGATTTGTACCCCAAATACACACAAGCAAAATGAGCAAAAGCCTACATATGAAGAGGTTGTCAGTTTATGTGAAAAAAATTCAGAAACGAAGAGAACAACTTAAATAATTAATCTTGAGCTTCCCCGGAGAGAGAGAGAGATAGAAAAGGGGATGTAAATTGTAGGGCTTATTTGTGTACTAACCATATTTGGAAGATAAATTAAGTGAATAGCAATGATTTTGACATAATTAAGAAACTAACATTTACATCCTAATTCATCCGGTTATACCCTTTTTCATTGCCATTACCCGGTAACAGACATACTCTGTGTCTACGTAGTCCACATAATATATGGTCAAGTATGTCTAAAATTCATTTTACAAGAAAGA